TTATATAGAATTTTTCACTCACTTAAAAGTTCATCAATTGCTCCTAGAGCATCATTATCAAAAATAAAGAAATCACTACTAACCTTATTGTCTTCATCGTCGGAATGATGTGATGCCATTAACGCGAGATTTGCGCTTTGATCACTATTGGAGTCCGATGAAGAACTTATTTCGTTGTCATCCCAAGCAATGTAGGCTTTCTTCTTGAAATCCTTATTTCCTTTGTGGTCATGATTTTTTGTGAGTCTAGGACATTCTGCTTTGATGTGGCCTTTCTTCTGACATTCATAGCATGTAATGTCTCCGTTTGATGTTGATGTTTCCTTTTCTTTATTTTTTGATAACTTCTTTCTTCTTGTATAACTTGAGTTTCTAACATTATTTTTTGCGATAAAATATTTCCCAAGTCTTTTTACAAGAAGCGTAAAGTTTTCGTCTTCTTCAGGATCGTCTTCTTTCATCCATTCCAAGTGCACTTTGTAAAATATTTATCGCCTTTCTGTCGTATAGAACTTTCTTCTTATTATCATCATCCCATGATCCTTGCGATTTTGATGAGCCGACTCCGTTGACCACCGTTGTAGGAATAAATGGACCATTTTGGACAACCTCCCATATTTCACTTCCTTGTGTTTCTAGATGTGCCTTCATGCGGATTTTCCAGAAATCGAAATATTCTCCACAAAACAAAGGAGGCTTGTTGCTACTGCCACCGTCTTTGAATACAAGATTGTTATTTGCGGAAGCCATCTGGATCGGGCAGGAACATGTTACCTATAACCTACTCTGATGCCAATTGTAACTTGTATAAGCGCCTAAGAGGGGGGTGAATTAGGTTCTGAAAAATTATTTGCAATCTTTTATGGTTCCTTGGTTTTTTTTTTCCGGTTACGAGTTAATGGCTGAAAAGTAAAGGCAGGAAAGAAAAAGAGACACAAGAAATTTATAGCGGTTCCCCTCACACTCCGAGGGTACTCCACTCCCCTTTCGACTCGAAAGAGATTTTCATTATAGTTTCAGAATTATAGCAAAGCCTAATCACACCAAATGTGATGCCTACTATCGAAACTATAGGTAATCCAAGTGTTGAAGAACAATCCTCTTCAAGACACTTCACTTGTTTCCAACAAACCTGGAAAACAAGGTAATACAAAAAAAAATGATCTTTGAGATAAGTTGAAATCTTTGATAGAATGTTATTATCAATCTTCACGATTGATCTTCTTCTTGAAACAAATGTTACTCAAACAAATATACAAGTGTTCTTGTGAAAGGAAGCTGTGATAGTGTGAAAGTTTTATTCAAAGGCTTCTTTCAAAAATGATTTTGAATACTTAAAATGAAATTTGGAAGAATGAAGAAAAACGAGTAATTTGAATGATTTTGTTTCTTGAAGGTTAATTGGAATTTTAAAAATGATAGCAATTTATACTGATCAAAAACCTTTTCAAAAGGGTATGATTTTGTGCAGCCAAAAACAGTCAGAATTAAAAATGGTAATCAATGCACATTTTCATGAACAACTGCTATTTTTGCTTGCTGCTTCCGTGTTAATCGATTAACCAAATGGGTTAATGGTTAACACCTTACAACGTTCAAAAATATTCAAATTTTACATGTGTCAATCGGTTAACCATATAAGTTAATCGGTTAACACTGTAAAAATATCACAAAATAATTAATTTTGAAGTGTGTTAATCGGTTAACCAATGTGTTAATCGATTAACACTGAAGGATTTTTAGAAAATAATTAATTTCCACAAGAGTGAGTATTTTAAAATAGTTTTAAAACAGTTTGTGGTATATGTGAAGTGAAAAGTGATTTTATGAACACTTGTATAAATATTTCTAAGTAATATTTGTTTATACCGTTGCTTTGAACGTCCTCATTACTTGAAGCTTGTAATGGAAGCTTTGCTCCATAACAATCATATGCAAGAGTACCGTCTTGATCTTTAATGTCCTTGTTTGATCGCTTGATTCTCTTACTTTTTGCGTATAATATCTTGCATATAAAGCTTGTTCTAGTTGCCCTCATCAAAATATTAAAGGCTTTGAAGCTTGTTTCTACAAAAATATTTAAGTTAAAAAAAGTCAGCTTAGGGATGAGTTTTGGTTGAAGAAGATGAAAAGACAAATGAGTTAAGTAGACATGATAAAATGAGGAAAGACCCATGCATTATTTAAATGAAACTTATTAATTTCAACCATCTATTTTAATCTAAAAGCTACTAATTATTCTTTTCATTCTCACACGCACACACACGCGCGCACACGCACACGAACACACAAACACACGTACAGACGCGCGCGCACACACACATATATGTATAAAAGTGAGGATCCACTTACTCAAAGAGTATGTTTTTATAACTTACTCCACAATCATAGCCTTTAAATTAGATTTAATCGAATCATTATAAGTAAAAATGCCAATTTAACCACTAAATTAGATTCAATTTAAAAGCTATGATGTGTAGTAAGTTAAAAAAACTCACTCTTGGATATTACGTGTCCGTTTTTTCTCTCTCCTCAGTCATTTATTTTAATAATAGAGAAGAGAAAATAACAAAAATTACACATAATCTCTACTATTTTTTTTAAAATCTAATGGTTCATATTCATTATCATATTCTCGCATAAAAATGACATTCTCAAAAGATATATATATATATATATATATATATATATATATATATATATATATATATATATATATATATATATATATATATATATATATATATATATATATATATATATATATATATATATATATATATATATATATATAAAATTTATTATTATAATATTAATATTCATGTAAGTGATATTTAGTTTTTACACTAAATCAAATAAATTAATACTTTGAGTGAATATAAGGTATATATAAAATTTAAAAAAGTATCATATAAAAAAATCTATTTTCAATCCATATTTTAAAAAATATCAAGTTGTTTGAATTTAAAATAAAAAAACAAAAAAAAATAAAAAAAGACAAAATAGAGAAATCAAAATTATAATTAAACTAGCGTCCAGACGGGCACTCGCGTGACCGTCTATCCGCTTTCTTAATGCACATAAAAAGATAAACGATATTTTTTGTTAAAATATTTTTTTTTAAAAATATAATATGTGAAAGTTAATAATAAGAAGTTACGTGGAAGTTAATAATAATAAATTATATGAAAATTAATAATAAGAAGTTATGTGAAAGTTAATAATAATAAATTATATGAAAGTTAATAATAGGAAGTTATTAAGTAAATTACACAATAATATAAGGATAAAAATGATAGAAAAATAGGCCACACCAAAAAAAGTATTTTCTTTATATATTGTATAGATTTAAAAAAATAGACAAAATAGAGAAATCAAAATTATAATTAAAATAGCGTCCCGGGCACTTCGGTCCGCTTTTTTAATGCACATAAAAAGATAAACAATATTTTTTGTTAAAATAATTAAAAAAAATATAATATATAAAAATTAATAATAAAAAATTATGTGGAAGTTAATAATAATAAATTACATGAAAGTGAATAATAGAAAGTTATTAAGTAAATTATATAATAATACAAGAGTAAAAATGGTAGAAAAATAGGTCAAAACTAAAACAAAGTATTTTCTTTATATATTATATATATATATATATATATATATATTTATATAAATATATATATATATATTTATATAAATATATATATATATATATATATATATATATATATATATATATATATATATATATATATATATATATATATATATATATATATATATATATATATATATATATATAAATATCTAAAATCATTTCTTAATTAAAAAATAAAATAGAAAGAAGAATTGAAAACTGATTTCTAAACGCCGTCGTTAGCTTAGCCGCCCGCAGGAAAGCAATACAGTAATTATAATAAGAGAGAGAAAGTGAGAATAGAGAGAAAAACACGTTGAATTTTCCTATCTCATCCTTTTTATTTTTTGACCCTAAAGAGAAAGAAGGATAAAAAAACCTCTCTCTCACAACGAACCGAAACCCTAAAGAAGACCCTTCTCAATCATCCCCTCGATTTCAATCCCATGCCTTGATCCCCCTTCTTATCCCCCATCTCATTAAACAGGTCTGTTCAATTCTTTTAAATTTCAAATTTTCTCATGTTCAGGCTTCGATAGTTTTTTTTCTTCTGTTATTTTCCCTTTCTTCGACACGTTCACCCATTTTATTGAGAATCCTGGACGTTATTGGTTCAAATGCATTCCATTGTTGATCGTTTTGCAGATCTGGTTTTAATTTTGAGGAGTGTTGTCTTTTATGTTTGCATTTTACGTATTTATTTCTTTGATGTTATTCAATTGCGATTTTGAATATAGCAAAGGGTTTGGGTTTCCAATTTACATTAGTACAATATTGTTTTTGTTTTTATTTTCATTTTAAATTCATGTATTTTTATCCCCTTTCCGATAATCTAATCACTGCCAAAGGGTCCCTTGAAACATTTGAGGCATGCAATATCCCCTGCTGTTAAAATAACTTGAGCTTTTGGATGAAGAATTAGGGTGCAGTTACAATACAGTTATCTGTTAAGGGGTTTATGAATTTCTATGTAGCACAAACACCTTTGAAAAACGGCGTGTCCGTGTTGGGGTTGGACATCTGCATCGGCACTTGTAATTACATTTAATTTATTCATTTTTTAAAATTATTATCGGTGTTCCCGTGTCAGCGTCGGAGTTGTGTTTGGAGTGTCCGTGCTTTATAGATGAATGTGCATTGGTTTGTGTATGTTCATTTTTCAAGGCTTGAGTTTCAACCCCCGTGATACTGTTTTACTTCAGTCAAATTAGTCCATGTGTTTTACTGGAATTTATTTTTGTGTATTACGTCAGTTACTTGTAAAGTATATTCTCTATGAAATCATTGACGGAGAAGTATGTGTAAATTTCTATTTTCAGGTTTCATGTAACTGGTGTTTAGATAATCAAGAAATAAATGATGGATGATATTAGTGAAGATGGATAACATGTCTGCTCCCTCATCACGGGAGCGTGCACAGCGCCTTTATGAAAAGGTATTCCTTTTTCTCTCTCTTGGTCATTTACTGGGCTGGAAACATTAAAAAATTTATGACTTTTGATGCACATACTGATGTAAGTCTTCGCAGCCCCAAATTTTTACTGATATTATGAGCCACTTTTTAAGTGTCTTGCTTTGAACATTTGATGCACAAATATCAATTATTAACTTTACTATTTTGCTAGTTAGTTGCAACTGTAATGCTGATTGCTTTTCCTTCTCCTTAAGAATTTTGTAGTGTATTGTTGAATTTATGATTTTAAATATCTTGTAACCACAACTTACATTACATAAGGCATAAAATTAGTTTGAACCAAGAAAATGACAATACTTCGTCTCTAATTAAGTTAGTGAATAAAACTGCTCATCTATGAATTATATTCCGAGACTTGAGTTGTATATTAAATGAACAATATAGATTCTAAATGAAAAAGTAGCAAGACTTATTAGACGCAGTTTTTTTCATGGTTTTCTTGCATAAATTTTTAGTGAGATTACTGTCTAGTTTGTAACATTTCACTTATTTGTTACTTAGAACCTTGAATTGGAGAATAAGCGTCGAAGATCTGCTCAAGTGCGGGTCCCATCCGATCCAAATGCCTGCCAACAAATGCGTGAGAATTATGAAGCAATAATTCTTGAGGATCATGCTTTCTCCGAGCAGCACAATATTGAATTTGCACTTTGGCAGTTGCATTATAAGCGGATTGAGGAGTTTAGGGCATACTTCAATGCAGCCGTCTCTTCTACTAACTCAAACCCAACACAGGGAGGAAAAGGCCCTGTGCGGCCTGATCGGGTAACAAAAATAAGGCTTCAGTTTAAGACTTTCCTTTCAGAGGCAACAGGATTTTATCACGATCTTATCATTAAAATCAGAGCAAAGTATGGGCTTCCACTTGGTTACTTTGAGGATTCAGACAATCGGATTGCGATGGAGAAAGTTGGAAAGAAATATGCTGATATGAAGATAGGTTTAGTGTCTTGTCATCGTTGTCTGATATACTTGGGGGATCTTGCTCGTTATAAAGGAATTTATGGTGAAGGTGACTCAATAAACCGTGAGTTCACAGCAGCCTCTAGCTACTACTTGCAAGCTGCATCTCTTTTGCCTTCAAGTGGGAATCCCCATCATCAGGTTTTGGCATTCTCCCTCAATTATGATGTTTTTATTGCTGCTTAATAGTATTTCAGTGTTGTGCTGCATAGTTGCCATAATCCATAATCCATTTTTTAATGTTTATGTTCTTATCAGCTTGCATTAGTAGCTTCATATTCTGGAGATGAGCTGGTGACTATTTATCGGTACTTTCGTAGTCTGGCTGTGGATAGTCCTTTTATAACTGCAAGAGAAAACTTGATAGTTGCATTTGAGAAGGTAATGCGATCATGGGTTTGCTATTGTCATATTCCACTTTTATATCGAAAATGTTCGAAACTGATTATTTGAGTAGTTTGTTTTTCTTTAATTTGGTTTTTTCATATATCTTGGCAATCTTTATATCTTAATTACTGCACGCTTGCTGAAGTATTATTACAAGTATGAGAGTCATCCAATTTTACTGTTAGGGCCTTATAAATGTGCAGGCTATACATTTCAGATTCTGTTGCTTCTTTTAAAACCCTTATTTAAATGTTATGTGTACATGTCTTGGATGGATGAAATAGCAACCCTTTGACTCTAGTCTGTTTATTTGGCATGCATTATATTGGAGCTTAATGAATATGGCCTATTTTTTGTGCTTTGTTATCTAGGATGTCTTGATATTTTTTTATTATATTCACTTCACCCTTAATCTAATATATTTTTGTTGTCTCTGACTGCGATGTTTGGCATTCTGACAAGCTATTTTTTACAATTCAATGGCAGAACCGTCAGAGTTTCTCTCAGCTACCCGGTGATACTAAAATTCTTGCTGTCAAGGAATCTTCAGGAAGACCAACTGGCAAAGTAAGAGGAAAAGTTGAAGCAAAACTTGCAACAAAGGCAGCTAGTGCTAGAATCAAAGAAGCATCCAGTATACAAGAAACTTATAAATGCTTTTGCACTCGCTTTGTACGCCTAAATGGAATCTTGTTCACTCGTACAAGGTGTCTATTCTGCACATTTTCAGTCCGTTTGTAGTGTGCTTAATTGCTAGTATCTGTTCTGATTGTTCCCTTTTTTGTTTTGTTTTCTTATACCCTGTTGATAGTCTCGAGACCTTCACCGAAGTTCTTGCCGTTGTTAACGCTGGTCTGCGCAAACTTCTTTCTTCAGGGCAAGATGAGGAGCTGAGTTTTGGCACTGATGTGACCGAGAATGAACTTGTCATTGTCAGAATTGTCTGCATCATAGTATTTACAATTTATAACGTGAATAAGGAATGTGAAGGTCAAACTTATGCAGAAATTGTACAGCGTGCTGTTCTTCTTCAGAATGCATTTGCTGCAGCTTTTGAATTGATGGGTTACATGATAGAGAGATGTACAGAGCTGCGTGACCCATCTTCTAGTTATCTTCTACCCGGAATTTTGGTTTTTGTTGAGTGGCTGGCTTGTTATCCAGATCTAGCTAAAGGCAATGATGTGGATGAGAATCAGGCTACTATCAGATCAAAATTTTGGAATCATTGTATATCCCTTTTCAATAGACTGCTTTTAGTTGAGCCTATGTCCATTCTTGATGAGGAGGAAACTTGCTTTAATAACATGAGCAGGTATGAAGAAGGGGAAACTGAAAACCGTCTTGCTTTGTTCGAGGACTTTGAGTTAAGGGGATTTGTTCCACTGCTTCCTGCACAAAGTATCTTGGACTTCTCTAGGAATCATTCTCTTGGAAATGATGGTGAAAAGGAAAGAAAAGCTCGGGTCAAAAGGATTTTAGCTGCAGGGAAGGCTTTAGCAAATGTTGTTAGGGTTGACCAGAAAGTGATATATTTTGATTCAAAGGCTAAGAAATTTACAATTGGTGTTGAGCCTCAAACCTCAGATGATTTCGTTCTTGCTACATCCTATTCAGGCATTCTCAGTACAGAAAACTTTCTGCAAGAAAATCCAGGAGACGAATCAATGGTGGAAGTTGTTCAATCAAATCAAGATCGGTATATAGAGGAAGATGAGGATGAAGTTATTGTTTTCAAGCCTGTAGTGTCTGAGGCTCGAGCTGATGTGGTTGTCTCATCATGGGCTCCCCATGAGGGTTTGGGGCCTTCTCTAAAAGCATTTGAAGGGGATTTAAACATTCATGAAAGTTCTACTTCCAACCCTCTCAATAATATAAACCATCAAACTTTGCCTGTTTCTGTTAGCGGTATGATGCCTCAAAACATCCAACCAGTGCAAACATCAAGGTGGATTACGGAGGAAATTTCTCTTGGCAACAATTTTGAAGCTCTTCGCTTATTTGAGAATGGGCATGTAACGAAACCTGGCCTACAAGAAGCTGTAGACATCTCAAACCGTGTAGCGTTTCCTATTCCTGTTCAACAATCTGTTGCTGCTGATACTAATGGTGTGTTTCAGGGTCTTCCAAAATCTTCAGAATCTTTGATACCATCCAAAGTTGATGCTATTGCATCTTCAGGAGTAATTACGGATAATTTATATGGGATGACCACACCAGCCTTGCAAGCTAGTTTGAGAAAATCTCCAGTCAGTCGACCTGCTAGGCACATAGGACCTCCTCCGGGCTTTAGTCCCTTTCCTTCCAAACAAGGTGGTGAATACTCTGTTTCAGATACAATAAGTGGGAATCCAATTATGGATGATTATGGTTGGTTAGATGGATATCATTTGGATTCATCAACTACTGGTTTAAGCTCTAATGGTCCTCTGGCTTACGCACAATCAAATTCTCATCAAGTCAGTAACAATGGCTATAGTGGGACGGTTAGCTTTCCCTTCCCTGGAAAAAAATTTCCATCTGTGCCTCTTCAGGTGGAGAAACAAAATGGTTGGCATGAGTATCAATCAAATGAGCATTTAAAATCACACGCTGATCAGCAGCTGCGACCTCAACAACAGCTCACAAATGGAAACCAGCAGTTTTCTCCTCTGCCCGAGCAATTTCAAGGACAATCAATTTGGACAGGTCGTTACTTGGTGTGATGTCAGTATAAGACTATAGATGGTATGCTTGTGGCATAGATTGATTGCTTTTTGCTTGATCTCTACCTTTCATTCTGTTTAATCTTTCGGATAGCTAACACAGTTATGTATTTGAGGTCTTTGAAGGCTTATTGCAGATGTGCTGCATCCTTTGCTACTCGTTCAAACTCGAGCTTTGCTTCCTTGTTCGGTGTTGTTGGAGTTTACTTTGGCCTTGAAATGTTGCAGGATGTTGCTACTACAAAATGTGAGTGCCAATTTATTCTTCATTTCGTTGATATCTTTGGCTAATGAAACTTGTAATTTTGCAAAGCACACCTTTATATTCCTGCACCGAATTTTCATCTTGGTATAAGAAGCAACTTTGTGGCTTTAAAGATTCTGCTATGACTGAATCCGTAACGAATCCAAACCTATGTTGATGCATTGTAAATAGCTTTATCTTGTATTTTCAAGAGGCTGATTTCATCTTTGTTCATTGAGAGAAGGTGGGTAAAGCAAACTAGGAAGAATGCATTTTCAAAAATAGCGAAAACAAAGTCTTGGTATTTCAAAATTTTGAAAATGTAAGATTTGTTTTCAGAGACTAAAAGAATGTAAGATTTGTTTTCAGAAACTAAAAAAGGATGTCCCTGAAAGTATTCTCTTATGTTCATTAGTTGAAGTAAATGAGGAAAGTATTCTCTTATGTTCATTAGTTGAAGTAAATGAGGAAAGTATTCTCTTATGTTCATTAGTTGAAGTAAATGGAACGAGATATTTTGTCTGGGTTTTTTGCCTCCAGAACCAGAACTAGCTTTCAAACTGTGTTGGAAAGTTCAGCTAATAATGTATGCAGCTGCTTATGTTTGAATAATTCTTACTTTTTTCTTGCTAGTTTTTGCAGATTATGCTGAGGTCTTCAGCCCAGACGAAGAAAGATAAAGAAGCATCTTTACAGTTCAAAGTTCTTAAGAAGTAAATGCCTTACCCGGTTCCATTGGGGTGGATAGCTGGTGATAAATAAAAGACTATTCAGTTGAGTTGGAGATTGTTTCTCCCGGGATTGCTGGTGTTGCAATGGTTTGTTCAAATCTCTAGTGGAAGTGTCATTATGATATGCACCTGCAAGAATCGTTGTAACAATGTCATCTGATTGCAAGTGATATACTTCATAGTGCTTCAAGACTAAATAAGTTGGGAAAATTGCTACGTAAGAAGTGGGTGTCAAGTTTGATTAATGGGACGTGTATAATATATATAAGCAATGTGGGGACTACTTAAGTTAGTGAGTGTGAGTTTATGTGTTTTAGTTGTTGTGTCTTCATTAAGGATCGTTATAGTTCGTTGTGTGTGAGTGGTTATGTGGTTCGTTTTCATGTTTTTATAAGTTGAGGCACCTCAAACTTGCAATTAGCAAATAAATTGGTGGATAGGTGATTCATATCCATCTTGTGGTGTGTATGAATATAAGTTGGATTTAGCATCTTTATTGCTTGCCGTGTTATTGTAGACATTTTCATGTTATTCGGCTGTACTTGTATTCTTACAATATTCGGCTGTGCACTGAGGATTACTGTTAATGGCTATAATCAGACGAAAACGCAATTTAATCCTTTTAATCCTTGACTTACTCTTAATTAGTTTACTCTCTGATATAAACCATAAAGTTGACTAAAAGATCAGCTGATGTATTCTTTAGGATCAATTCCACAGAAAACAAGCCGTAATAAACTTCCTCCAATCAGTTTCCTTTAAAATTCATAAGTTTTATACTGATTTGTATCTTGGGTTTTTTCTGTTTTGGTAATGTTTTGATTATTCAAATAACAAATGATCTGTTAGGTTATTAGAGCTAATCGATTATCTAGTTGGAATAAGTCATCCAATTGAAGTTTTACTAAAATAAGAGATGTGTCTCAAAGATTTTCGGTGTTTTCATTATCAAAATCAAACAGCTAATCAGTTGACTGTAAATTTGCTATCAACAAACTTCACCACCCTAAATCACTTTGATAATACATGCAAACACATAGATCCACATGTCCCTTCAATACATTACCAATTCCACTTCCCTTTAAATTCAAAGATCCATAGATCCACATGTCCCTTCAATACATTACCAATTCCACTTCCCTTTAAATTCAAAGATCCATCGACTGATAAATTTAAAAAGGGTATTGGGCTTCTATTTCTTCTAGCATGCTAAACTCGACAACAAAGTCTTATAGAGCTCGAGACTTAATGCTGCTCCTAGATACAAAGGATATATCATATTCTAAGAGCTCGAGCGCTCTTACTACCATTCTTTCATCTATGTCAAGCTTTTTCAGTACTTGCTTTATAAAATAGTTGTTTTTATAATGATCGCTTGTCTCTGAAAACAAGCCCTCAACTTTCTCGCAATTACTACAATTGCTAAAGCCATGCATTCCATTTTCTGATAACGTAGATTGCCCCTTCAAGATCTTGTTTAGAAAATAAACGGACCGACATTTCTCCTCATCACCTAGAACTAAGATTGAGCTTATGGCGTTGGCAGTAACTAATAAATGGAGGAATAAAAGAACTTCTCTCTTTGGGCGTGTGAGTATGGGTGAGGTTGCCAATAACTTTTTTATTTCTTGGAAAGTCTCTTAACACTCTTTTTTTCATTGAAAACTTCTTGACTTCTTTTGTGTAAAAAACGAATGAATTTGTCACCTACACAAGATAAGAAACAAGATAACCTTACAATTCTCCCGTCAATTGCTGAAACTCTTAAACCAAAGTCGGGCTTCTCATATCTATGATCGTCTGACATTGATCAAGGTTTTCTTTAACTCCTCAACTTGCTAGCATAAAGCCTAAAAAATTCCCAGCTTGAACAACAAATGAGCACTTGTTCGGGTTCAAACACATGTTGTATTTTCTCACAAATGCCAAAGTCTCTTTCAAGTCTTAGTCATGCTACCCTTCACTCGGGATCTTAATTAGAATGTCATCAATGTATAATTCTAAATTCCAACCTGTCTTCTAGGAAAAGAAGGTGTCCATCACCCAATGATACGTAGCACATATGTTTTACCAATCTAAACGACATGACCTTGTAATAGAAATGTTGCGATTGGTCATGAACGTTGTCTTATGGGCATAATTAGGGTTCATCCTTATCTAAACATAACTCAAGTTTACATTCATAAAACCTAGTACTAAGAACCTTGAGGCACTATTGATTATATTATCAATGCTTGGTAATGGATACAAATCCTTGGGATATGCTTTATTGAGGTCAATGAAATCCACAAACATTTGTCATTTTTCGAATGCCTTCTTTACCTTCACGATGTTAGCTAGATATGTTGGATATTTGATCTCTCGAATGAACCCGACCTCAAATTTCACCGCCTTTTCTTAGATGGACTCTTTTTTATCTTTCCCTTCTTTGTGGTTCCTCTCAGTGACGCTCTTCAGTATAGGCTTAATGGATAAAAAATGACACATCATATATGAATCTATTTCAGGCATATCAGCTGACACCTATGAGAATAAATCCACTTTTGTAGTTGCTGCAATATCTTCTCTACCCCTTCTTCAGATAAAGTGGTTCATATATTTGTAGTATAAGAGATTTTAAGGTCTATTTGAATGAACTTTACTTCTTCCATAGATGTCATCCTGTTTTGTAAAGGGGCCAACGCGTGGGTCTAAAACCACATAGTTGACTCTGTGTGAGCTGGATCAACAAGCAAACTCTAGAGTGCCTTTTTTCCTCATCTTCAGACTATCCACGTAGCATCTTGCCAATTCTTGATTGCATTTTGCTACCCCTGCTCATCCGTTACTTTAAGGGTACTTCATTGTTAGGTATTTGCATACTCTAATTTTGTCCCTCAATCAATAAATCAATGCATTCACCATACATTTGCATCATTTTCATATCATACATAACATGCATTTCTTTTCGGATAATGCTTAAAATGTTAACCAGAATAAATTTTTGGTTTTACAGATAGACCAATTGAATTGTTTCTCAAATTTGCGTAAATTTAGCGGGCGGAAAAATTTCGAGACCGAGTTTACAACTATCAATTTTATCAATCTACGATTCACATAGTTTAACTTAGGCTCAATTCATTTTTTTTGATTCCATTTGCGATCACATTTGGATCAGCCTAAGCCTTTTCAACCAAGCACTTTTTATTGCAAAATTGGATCTATCTGTCTGTTTTACGGAAGTATATTTATTTTATGTAGATAATTTTAATGCGTTCATTTTATTTTTTTCGCGCACTTTTGCGACCGATTTTTATTCATTTTATTTTTGTTTTTTTGTCAAAATGTCAAGAAAAATAAATAGGAATAAATAAATAATCCCTTGATTTTTATTAATTTTTTAAAAAAATTTATTTCATTTAATTTTTTAAAAATCATTTTTAATCATCTAAAAATATCAAGAGGTAATTTTGGGAATGCATTTAGTTATGAAAACTCTAATTTACTTACCATTTTGTGCTTTCTCATTGACCATTGGATCAAAATAATCAAAGGTCCCAATTTGTCCAATCTTATCCACTTGGATTAGTATCCACAACTTTCACTCTCCACCAATAAAAAAAAAAGGAAATAAAAGAATAAAAGAAAATATTAAAAAGAAATAAAAGGTGGTGACTTTTCCACCAATGGGGGAGGCCGCACTCCACATAACATATCATACCTCTCTCTCTCTCTCTCTCTCTCTCTCTCTCTCTCTCTCTCTCTCTCTCTCTCTCTCTCTCTCTCTCTCTCTCTCTCTCTCTCTCTCTCTCTCTCTCTCTCTCTCTCTCTCTCTCTCTCTCTCTCTCTCTCTCTCTCTCTCTCTCTCTCTGCGCGCGTGTAGGAAAATGGGGTTTGAAAAATTGTTTTTTAGAGTTGGGAGCCAAACAATGCTTTAAAAAAGACTCTTTCATTCAGTAAAAATGAAAGTAAAAAGGTGACTTCACTTTGGGGATTCTTTGACCCTTGTCATACCCTAAATTTTACCCCTAGATTCAATCATCATTTGCATAATGTCGCTACTGCGAAAAAAGGTGCCGGCAAGGACAGAAGAGTCGCCACCGTTCGTTATTTATCCCGTCAGAGGGAAAGGAAACGATAAGAGAAAATCTGCGAATCGGGATAAGATTGGTCATCGCAACCAAATCTCGGGTTCGGGAGTCAGTTACGCAAGGGGAAGGTATTAGCACCCCTCACGTCCGTTGTACTCGACGGGATCCACGCTTGTTGTCTATCTAAAAGGGTGTGTTTATTTATCTACCTAAAGGTCTCAGGGACAAAAGAAAAAGAAAAAGGACTCGACAGAGCATCGCCGCTCTGGGCCTACGTATTCCCTCGTGCAATGGGAAAGTCAGAGTCAACGTAGTTCGGCTAACTACGGGTGAAAAGGGGGGAAGGTTGCTCGCCAAGACATCGCGTCTTGTGCCTACGTATTCTCATCTGGTATGAGAAATCAGAGCAAACGTAGTTCAGACAATTAGAACACCGGTTTGTTCATTTGTTTTTACCCGAGTAGGGTTAACAATCAGTTCCAGCAGTTAGGTGTATGCAGCTCGACCTTTGGAGACTTAGGCGTTACCTGTTTGCGGTAGAACTAAGGGTTAACGAAACTCTTGTTTATGAAAAGGTTTTCCATTGTTGCAGAGTCCCAAGGGATAAAATGAAGTTTGATAATTTGTTTTTGTATCTTTTAAGGAGAAGTGTTTTTTTGAATTGTTTGTAATTCATATCGCACTAGAACTATGACTTAGGAGCGAATGCGTCGCATATCGTCCTAAGGACGTACACTAAACACTCTAAGCAATTGAGAGGTAACCCCCAATCACTATTTCCCAAGTACTTAAGGCTCGTAACACACAATATTCATCAGCCTTTATTATGTATTTTGAAATTGTTTTGAGATGAGAAAGAGAGAGGACAAACTAAAAGGG